CAAGAGAATCATTTCAGACCTAAAGACACCTGCAGATTGAAAGTGAAGGGAGAGGAAAACACTTATAATGCAAATCGAGGTCAAAAGAAAGCCAGAGTAGCAATACTTTTATCAGACAAAAAAAGACTTTAAAACAAAGTCTGAAAAAAAATAAATAAAACAAAGTCTGTAAAAAGAGATGAAGGGCACTATATAATAATAAAGGGAACAGGGTGCCTGGGTGGCTCAGTCAGTGAAGCGTCCAACTTTGGTTCAGGTCATGATCTCACAATTCATGGGTTTGAGCCCTGCATCGGGCTCTGTGCTGATAGCTAGCTCAGAACCTGGAGCCTGTCTTTGGATTCTGTGTCTCCCTCTCTCTCTGACCCTCCCCTGCTCATGCTGTCTCTATCTCTCTCTCATAAATAAACAAAACATTTTAAAAACTTTTAATAATAAAAAAATAATAAAGGGAACAATCCAACAAGAAGACATTAACGATTATAAATACATATGCACCCAACATGAAAGCACTCAAATACATAAAACAGTTAATAACAAACATAGAGGAACTAATCAATAATAGTAGAGGACTTTAACACCCCATCCAAACAGAAACTCAACAAGGAAAAAGTAGCTTTGAATGTCACACTGGAATAGATGGATTTAACAGATAAATTCAGAACATTCTATCCTAAAACAGAAGAATACACATTCTTTTCAAGTGCACATGGAACATTCTCCAGAATAGATCACATATTAGGCCACAAACCAAGCCTCAACAAATTCAAAAAGATTGAAGTCATACCATGCATACCACCAAGCTATGAAACTAGAAATCAACCACAAGAAAAAAGTATGGGAAGACCACAAATACATGGAGGTTAAATAACATGCTTCTAAACAATGAATGGGTCCACCGAGAAATCAAAGCACAAATCAAAAAGTACATGAAAACAAACAAAAACAAAACACAATGGTCCAAAACCTTCAGGATGCAGCAAAAGCAGTTCTAAGAGTGAAGTTTATAGTAATACAAGCCTACCTCAAGAAGACAGAAATATCTCAGATAAAGTACCTAACTTGACACCTAATGGATCTAGAAAAAGAACAACAAACAAAACCCCAAATCAGCAGAAGGAATGAAATAATAAAGATTAGAGCAGAGATAAATGATATAGAGACTAAAAAACAATAGATCAATAAAACCAGGAGGTATTTCATTGAAAAGATCAACAAAATTGATAACCCATAGCCAGACTCATTAGAGAGAGAACGGACTCAACTAAGCAAAATCACAAATGAAAGAGGAAAAATAACAATAAACACCACAGAAATACAAGCAATTGTAAGAGAATACTATGAAAAGCTATATGGCAACGAATTAGACAACCTAGAAGAAATGAATAAACTCCTAGAAACATATAACCTACAAAAACTGAAACAAGAAAAATTGAAAATTTGAACAGATGGATTGCCAGCAAGGAGTTGGAATCAGTAATAAAAAAAACTAACAACAAACAAAAGTCCAGGACAAGACAGCTTTACAGGCGAATTCTACCAAATATTTTTTTTAAGTTTTTGCTATAGTTATTTTGAGAGAGAGAGAGAAAGCGGGGGACGGACAAAGAGAGAGAGACAGAAAGACAAGAGAGAATCCCAAGCAGTTTCATAGCTGTCAGTGTAGACCCCAAGCGGGGCTCAAACTCACAAACCATGAAACCACGACCTGAGCCAAAACCAAGAGTCAGACACTTAACCAACTGAACCACCCTGGTGCCCCTATCAAACATTTAAAGGAGAGTTAATACCTACCCTACTCAAACTATTCCAAAAATAGAAGAAGGAAAACTCCCAAATTCACTCTATGAGGCCAACATCACCCTGATACCAAAACCAGATAAAGACACCACAGAAGGGGGGGGGGGAAGCTACAGACCAATATCTCTGAGGAACATAAATACAGAAATCCTCAACAAAATATTAGCAAACAGAATCCAACAATACTTTAAAAATATCATTCACTACCATCAAGTGGGATTTATTCCTGGGATACAAGGGTGGTTCAATATTTGCAAATCAATCAACATGATATATCACATCAATGAGAGAAAAGATCAAAGCTATACAATCATTTCAATAAATGCAAAAAAAGGATCTGACAAAGTACAACGACCAATTATCATTTGAAAAACAAAAAAACAAAACAAAACAAAAAAAAAAAAAACAACAACTCCAGGGGCGCCTGGGTGGCTCAGTTGGTTAAGTGTCTGACTTTGGCTCAGGTCATGATCTCACAGTTCGTGGGTTCGAGCCCCACATCGGGCTCTGTGCTGACAGCTAGCTCAGAGCCTGGAGGCTGCTTCAGATTCTGTGTCTCCCTCTCTCTCTGACCCTCCCCTGCTCATGCTCTCTTGCTCTCTCTCTCTCGCTCTCTCTCTCAGAAATAAATAAAACATTAAAAAAAATTTTTTTAACTCCACAAAGTAGGTTTAGAGGGAACATGCCTCAACATAAAAAAGGCCATGTATGAAAAACCCACAGCTAACATCATACTCAGTGAGAAAAAGCTAAGAGCTTTCCTCCTAAGGTCAGGAACAAGACAAGGTCTCATTACTTTTACTCAACATAGTACTATAAGTTCTAGAGACAGCAATTAGACAACAAAAAGAAATAAAAGGTATCCAAATTGGTAAGGAAGAAGTAAAACTTTCACTGCTTGCAGATGACATGATATTATATATAAGGAAAGCCAAAGACTCCACCAAAAAACTAGGACTAATAAATGAATCCTCAGTAAAGTCACAGGATACAAAATCTATGTGCAGAAACCCATTGCATTTCTATACACTAATAATGAAGCAGCAGAGAGAAATTAAGAAAACAATTCCATTCACAATTGCATCAAAAATAAGATACCTAAGAATAAATCAAATTAAAGGGATGAAAGACCTGTACTCCAAAAACTACAAAACACTTATGAAAGAAGCTAAAAAAAAAAAACACAAAGAAATGAAAAGACACTCCATGTTCATTAATTGAAAGAATATTGTTAAAATATCTATACTACCGAAAACAATCTACACACTTAATACAATCTCTATCAAAATACCAAAGGCATTTTTCACAGAACTAGAACAAAAACATCCTAAATTTTTTATAGAATCACAAAAGACCCTAAATAGCCAAAGCAATTTTGAAAAAGCAAAGCAAATCTGGAGAGGTGCCTGGGTGGCTCAGTCAGTTAAGTGTCCATCCAACTCTTGATCTTGGTCCAGATCATGATCTCATGGTTCCTGATTTTAAGCCACACATCAGTCAGTGTCAGTGCAGAGCCTGCTTGGAATCCTGTCTCTCCTTCTCTCTGCCCCTCCCCCACTAGTGCTTGTATGCACTCTCTCCCTCCCTCTCTCTCTCTCTCTCTCTTGCTCTCTCTTGCTCTCTCTCTCTCTCACTCTTTCAAAATAAAAATAAACTTTAAAAAAAGAAAAGTTGGAGATACCACAATTCCAGACTTCAAGTTATATTATAAAACTGTAGTAATCAAAACAATATTGTACTGGCACAAAAATAGACACATAGATCAATAGAACAAAAGAACAGAGGGGCGCCTGGGTGGCTTAGTCGGTTAAGCGTCTGACTTTCGCTCAGGTCATGATCTCGCAGTTCGTGGGTTCGGGCCCCGCGTCAGGCTCTGTGCTGACTGCCAGCTCAGAGCCTGGAGCCTGTTTCAGTCTGTGATTCCCTCTCTCTCTAACCCTCCCCTGCTCACACTGTCTCTCTCTCTCTCCTAGAAATAAATAAAACATTTAAAAAAAAAAAAGAATAGAAGAGAAAACCCAGAAATGAACCCACAATTATATGGTCAATTAATCTTTGATGAGGCAGGAAAGAATATCCAATGAGAGAAAGACAGTCTCTTCACCAAATGATGTTGGGAGAACTGGACAGCTACATGCAAAAGAATGAAACCAGGCCACTTTCTTACACCATACACAAAAACAAATTCAAAATGGATTAAAGACCTAAATGTGAGACCTGCAGCCATTAAATCCTAGGAGAGAGCCCAGGCAGTAATGTCTCTGACATGGGATGTAGCAACACTTCTAGATATGTCTCCCGAGGCAAGGGAAATAAAAGCTAAAATAAACTATTGGGACTAAATGACCTTGCCATCCTCACCACAGCCTCAGGATCTCCTTAGTACCCTCCCCCCAACTCCAATACAATCCAGTATCTTTCCTCTCCCCACTCTGATCCAATCTCCCTCAGCTGCTCACCACATCAACCTCTCCACTTTGCCTCTGGATCCCCTGGTCCACAAGAAACAAATCTCTGCACTCAGTCTCTTCGATGCATTTCCCTCCAACCCTGCCTGAACCACAACATGGATCTCCTTCAACGACCCTTCTTCCCTGTGTCTTCTCAAGCTAGGCTTTCCCATTCCCCAACTGCCCTGAATTCCAGGCCTAGAGAGGGATGTGCATTCTTTCTGATCCCCAGAGATAAAAGCCTCTTCCCCTTAAGATCCATAGCACATGGCTCCACCATCTTCCTACACTCCTACCATGACTCTTGCCACCCCCCCACCAACAAAGGGCACACACAGGGCCTAGAGTCTCAGTTCCCTGATTTTCTGTCCTCATCAGGCTCTGCTTTAATCCTGGAGGACTCTACTGTTCACTCTCATATTAATCCTTCCCTAGGGGCACCTGGGTGGCTCAGTCAGTTAAGTGTCTGACTCTTGATCTTGGCTCACGTCGTGATGTCACAGTTATGTTAGTGTTAGTGAGATCCAGCCCCACATCATACTCTGCAATGACAGCATGGAGCCTGCTTGGGATTATCTCTCTCGCTCTCTCTCTCTGCCCCTCCCCACTTCCCCTCCCTCTGCCCTTCCCCCACTCACACAAATGCACACATGCACACTCTCTCTCAAAAATAAACATGAAAAAAAAATCCTTCCCTGATCACCCCTTCCCAACCTACACTGATCTTAAGGCATCTAAATTCTGATTTCTGTGCTCACTTCAGCAGCACGTATACTAAAATTGGAACAATACAGAGAAGATTAGCATGGATTCTGTGCAAGAATGACATGCAAATTCATGAAGTACTCCATATTTTGTGCAGTTCTCCAACAAACTGCCACCCTTTGTGGATTAACTCAGAGGAAAGGATGTGAGTCAAAGCACAGCATGCAACACTGAATAATGAAATTGTGGCATTTCACTAGAAAAATAAATAAAATAATAAATTCTGATTTCACATTCATATGCCCTTATTCGCTTCCATGTTCCCAGATTCCAGCACAGGCCCAGGTCACCAGTAGACACTCTTATATTTCATGAATGAATGAATGACCACAGGGAGGAGCTAGGCAGAGAGGGATGGACACCGGTTTCTCCCACCATCTTGCTGCTCCAGCCAGACCCCTTCCCATAGCTGAATGTAGGTCCTATGCTACTTTCTCTTGTCATCATGCACATAGGCAGCCTCACATACTCCCACTACCCATTCAGCAGGAACTCCTGGGCTATGACCAGCTCACAACAGTAAAAGAATTATCTAGAGGCTGAACTTCCCGCAGTCCAATCTCATGCCAGGCCCCAAGGAGCCTTGGCCCCACCCAGAGCAGGGCAGAGAAGTCGTTAATGAGAACAGGTGCACTGCCCTGCAGACGAGGTTCTTCTTTCCTGTTACTAGATTTGTCACACTCAGTGACCCCAGTTTCAGCCACAGGGTCTGCTCAGAAGAAATGATTCCACCAGTCTAAACTAGGTACTTGAATAACAGTCCGAGGGCCAGCCTTGAACTAGACATTCCTCCTTGCCCCATCCCTTGTACCTCCAGGAAATCCTGGGGAAAGGACAAGGTACTTGGTGTTAAGATGGCCTCCAAAGTTTCATCGGAAAAGGCAGATTATTTCCCCCCTCTTCTGAGGCTGATGTATGATTCTACCCTCACCTTAATTCCTGGAAGCAACATGAGGCACAGAAGAGGGCTTAGAGTGATATCACCAACATAGTCCAACATAGTCCAATACAATAACCCTCACTGATTTCTATGCCTGACCAACAACTTGACATTCACCCACAGGTGAAAATGCCTTTATGGAAGCTCTGGGGTTCAGCACCACATGCCAGGGGACCCAAGAGGAGTCTCAAACACCCATGTGTCAAGTAACAGACCTCAGTCCCACCTGTGACCCTGCAATTGCCCATGAATCAGCTCTATCCCCAGTCAGCCATGGTCCAGGAGATCCTGGAGAGCGCTGTCTTAGACGATTACTCCCAGAGAAGAGAGCCTTTATAGAAGTCCAGGTTTCCAGAGAACTTCTAGCACATATTTGCAGCAAAAAAATGTGTATGTGTATGCACACGCACAAGGTAAGAGGAACAATTTGACTTTGCCTCCATCACCTGTCCCCCAAGCAGCACAGCTCAGTGCCAAGAAATCACCTTCTCAGCCCATGATTTCTCCAGCAGGGGGAAAGTGAGGGCATGTGAGTGAGCACTTGGCTTCTCAGGCTGTACAGAAATCTGGCAAACATGCTTATTTCTCTCTTGTCCCGTTCAGGGTACTGAGTTGTGAGCTGTGTGACTGGGGCTGGGAGGAGCAAACAGGACTATTGGAGGGCTTTAAAGGAACTTGGATTCTGTTACCTATATCATAAATTCTAATCGAATGGCATAGAGTGGACTTGCCTCCACATCTACACTGACAGGAGCTGGATTTCCTCAGGACCCACCAGGGAGGCATCACCCTGGCTGCGGGTCACCTTGGAAACATGTCCACACTGACAGCAGCTGGGTTTCCTTAGGACCTTCTGTGGGAAGAGAAGGAAGTGGCTGGAAAACAAATGTACCAGAGTTATCATCTAAAACAAGATTCTCCTTCAGAAAACGTCATCAATAGCCACTACCAAAATGACTCTGATCTACTGGGCAGCCATGGAAGCTTGAGATGTTGTCTACTACAGTTCGTTAACAATGAGCTCTGCATGTTTGTATATGTGAGAGCTGGTGTGTTTGACGCTGGCTGGTGAGCTACATTACCCTCACAAAAGAGCTGGGACCCTAACCCCAGTCATCCTGCAAGTGAAAGAGCTGATCAGTATTACCAACGTCACTCTGTTTGATGCTTTTAGTGGCTTCCAGGCCCTTGTCCTCCAACATGTTTCCAGATTCCTTCAGCTTATCCAGGACGTGCCCCCAAGGTGTTGGAGTGATCTGAGATTGCCCGGGCCAGGGCTGGGCCTTCCCAAACCATTGACAGAACCACCACTAGGGCTGGGGGCAACAAGATGAGCCTCATGGCAGTGCCAGAGAGGCACTCTGGATCCGTGGTAGGACATCATGGGTTGGCCTGTACATTTTACAGCTACCTTCTTGCCAGGAGACTCTTCAAGTTGAATGTATTTCACCTGTAAGATAAAGGCATTAAACTACTGTCATGCTATTAGCAAAGAGCAAGACTGCACTCACTCTTCTTGTGGCCAGACTCCTCCCATCCTTTCATTCCAAAGGTGTCTTCTCCTGGTATCTTCTCCTGCATCCACTGGGGTGAGATGTATGGCAGTTTACTCACATCCTTTGGATTGGTTGAGGTTTGAGATACACCACTTGCCTAGTTCTGGTAATACTGGGGCAAAGACACTTCTGAAACTTGAGAAAGATGGAAATCAGCTTTCTTTTTTTATTGAATTATGTTTGACATAAAACATTATGTGTTTGAAGTACTGATTTGATGCCTATATGTATTGTAATATGATTATCATTGCAGTGATAGTTGGCACCTCTATTGTGTCATATAATTGTCATTTCTTTTTTGTGGCGGGAACAACCAAAGTCTAGGCTCTTATTAATTTTGATGAATATAATACAATCTTATTGTCTATCTGCTATATGCTATGCATTGGATTTCCAGGACTTATCTAACTACTGGATGAACATTTGGATCCTTAAACAAAATTTCTCCTGCTTCCCCACACCCCAGCCCATAGTAACCACTATTGTATTCTTGGTTTTTATAAGTTTGGCTCTTTCAGATTCCACATGTAGGTGATATCATACAGTATTTGGTCTTTCATGGTCTGACTTATCACACTTAGTATAATGCCTTCAAGTTCCATCCATGTTGTCACAGAATTCAGGATTTCTTTCTGTCTTGTGGCTGATTAACATTCCATTGTATCGTGGCACCTGGGTGACTCGGTCAGCTGAGCATCCAACCCTTAGTTTTGGCTCAGGTCATAATCTCAGGGTTGTGGGTTTAAGCCTTGCATGGGGCTCCACACTGAGCATGGGGCCTGCTTAAGGTATCTCTCGCTCTCTCTCTTCTGCCCCCACCTCCACTCACACTCTCCCACTCCCTCTCTCTCTAAAATAAATAAACAAACAAATAAAATAGAAATTTTAAATATTCCATCGTATCTATAAATATTTTTATGTTTATTTATTATTGAGACATAAACAGAGCATAAGTGAGGGAGGGGCAGAGAGAGAGGGAGACAGAGAATCCGAAGCAGTCTCCAGGCTCCGAGCTGTCAGCACAGAGCCCGACATGGGGCTCGAACTCACAAACCGTGAGATCATGACCTGAGCCAAAGTCAGACACTTAACCAACTGAGCCACCCAGGTGTTCCCCCATTGTATCTATATACCACAACTTCTTTGTCCATTTATCTGTTGATGGACACTTGGGTTGTTTCCATGTCTTGGCTATTGTGAATGGTACAGTAAACATAGGGATGCATTTTTAAAAAGGCATAGAATGGCTGGATGGATTTAAAAAAAAAAGGCAAGATCTGACTATATCCTGCCTACAAGAGATTCACTTCAGCTTTAAGGACACTCATAGACTCAAGGTGAAGGACTAGAAAAAGATATTCCTGTAAGTGGAAACCAAAAGAGAGCAAGGTTAACTATGTTTATATATTAAAAAATAGACTTAAACCAAAAACTGTAACAAAAGAGAAGGAAGGTCATTATATAATGATAAAAGGATCAATTCCTCAGGAACATATAACAATTGCAAATATATATGTACTCAATATTAGGGCACCTAAATATGTTAGGCAAATGCTAACTGATTTGAAAGGAGAAATAGACACTACCCCACTTTCAACAAAAGGTAGTTCACTCAGACAGAAAATCAATAAGGAAACACTGGAGGGGCGCCTGGGTGGCTTAGTCGGTTGGGCGTCCGACTTTCGCTTAGGTCATGATCTCGCGGTTCGTGGGTTCAAGCCCCGCGTCGGGCTCTGTGCTGACTCCCAGCTCAGAGCCTGGAGCCTGTTTCAGTCTGTGACTCCCTCTCTCTCTGACCCTCCCCTGCTCAAGCTGTCTCTCTCTCTCTCTCCTAGAAATAAATAAAACATTTTTTTAAAAAATTTAAAAAAAAAAAAAGGAAACACTGGATTTGAACTAGACGTTAGTACAAATATACCTAACACAACATATAGAACATCCAACAGTAGCAGAATGCACATTCTTTTCAAGCACACATGGAACATTCTTCACGATAGAGCATGATAAGTCACAAATAAGTCTTAGCAAATTTAAGAAGACTGAATTGTACCAAGTATCTTTTCCAACCACCATGGCATGAAACTAGCAATCAGTAACAGGAGGAAAACTAGAAAATTCACAAATACGTGGAAAGGAAACAACACACTCTTCAACAACCAATGGATCAAGAAGAAATCAAGAAATCAAAAGGAAATAAAAAATAACTTGAAACAAATTAAAATGGAAACAACTACCAAAACGTGTGGGATGCATTAAAACAAACTCAGAGAGATCACATCAAAATGTTGGGCTTACATGTAAAACAATAGTAAAAAATGCACTAAAAAATTTCATCTATGAACTGATATTAGTTGACAACAAGGAACCACTGTTAATTTTGTTAAATATAATATTGGCATTACAGTTATTTTTTAAAAGGTCATATTTTTAAAAGATGTATATATCAAAGTATTTAAAGGTGAAATAGCAAAAATGTCTGAATGCCTAAAAACACAAAGAAAAGTGACAAATACAATACAATCTTGGTAATTATTCAATCTAAAGACTGGGTGTGTGTGAGTCCACTGTTAAATTTCTGTACTTGCTTATGTTTGCA